AAAACAGTTGCGTACTCCACCACAGTCACCAGACCTCAATCCAATCGAATATTTGTGGGCAAAATTGGAGAAACGAATTCGAAAACACAATATTACGTCGCGAAATAAGCTAATTAGTAAATTGCAGGAAGAATGGGCGAAATTTACGTCGGATGACACTGAAAAACTAGTTCAGTCAATGCCCAGACGTCTGCAAGCTGTTTTGAAGAATAAAGGATATCCTACAAAGTATTGAAGTAATGTAAAAAACTTATATTTTGCTTTTTTTTTTAAAGTGTACGCAGACTTATTGGAGGGAATTTCTGAGTTTTTTTTGACAAAATATATTTTTGAAAAAATGTAAAAAGTATTACACTGATATTATTTACTTTTTATTTAAGCTTACAATTTTAGCTAATAGAAGAAAAAAAATGCAATGATTAAAATACATTTTTCTATGCTTTAAGTGTTTTTTTTTTATTTAAAATTTAGTCTGTACGCAGACTTTTGTGGCTAACTGTATATGCATACTATCTATCTATATATTGCAACGTATTTTTGCTACGCTACCAACATAATTCCGCTAAGAAATGTAAATTACCACAGACGATGCAGGCGCTTAAAATTTTTTTTCCAGTTATTCTGTAAGTTTGAACTAATAAAGTTTGTTGTTCGTTCAAAAATGGCGGGAGTTCTTTAAAACTTCATTACAAACGTATACAAGAATAAATATCTAGTGGTAGTCGCTGGGATCGAAAGGTGAAACCAGTGTTTATTTAAAAGAAAAGAAAATACAGTACTTGTGAATATAAGTTTTAATGAATACTGTGCCATTTTGTATGAAAATATTGTATCTTATTATTGAATTAAACTAATAGAACGATATTCTATGTTTAAGCTTTTGGATTAAAGCGTCAAAATATTTAACGTTCTTTTAAAATTTGAGCTCTCATATTAAAGTGGCAAATTTTTTACGTTGATATTAGAATATTTCTATTATAAAATTTGAGCTCTTGTATTAGAGTCGCAAATCAAGAATTTTGTTGTGTGAATCAAGTGAGAGGCTTGAATGCTTTTTGGTACTTTTCCGTTTTGCCGGTGCAAACGATAAAGTCGCCAATAATGGTACAACTGATGCCAAACGGAATATCTTCGCTGGTAATCTTTTACGCCTCATTTTCAAAACAAGTCGCAGTCATTTCTTACCAGATTGATTTTTTCTTTCAATACTGGCGTACAATTACATAGAATATTTACAAAAATAATTAAATTTTATGCTCTAAGACCATTCGCGGTAATTAAGTCAGTTAGGATGCAATCACACCGCTCACCCGAAGGTAAAAATATAGAAAAGGCAAAATCAAGGGTTAAGTTCATCAATTCTAATGAGAATGCACTAGCAAGGTAAAGCACTGCCGTTTTACATAATTTCTGAGTAAGCTATTCATACGAATTGAAATAATTCTTACATTTAAACTTGTATTCCAAATTAAGATTTTACTTGAAATTAATGTAGCTAATTACTGAGAGAATTATTTTTTTGTAGTGCAGTTTACGTGAGATGAGATTATTTGGGGTCACGTGATACGGACCGGCGAATCAGGATGTTGAACCATGATAGCATAGTAAATTCTTAAATAAAATCTTTTTACAAATTTATTGGTTTTTACAAAATTTTAAACCATATAAAGATGTTTATGCCTTCAAAATAAAAAATTCTTAGAACTAACATTTTTTAACATTTTTTATGTGTATACTGTATGTTGTTGCCAACAAAGTCTGCTTGGCGAGATTTGCACCGACGAAACCGAAAAGTACCAATTCTTTTTTATTTACTTTTAGTATAAGTTATTAAGAGCACAGCTTTGCAGATTTTTGTTTATCGGAAAGCACATAAGTTTTATTGCATTAAATGTTTTAGGGGAAAAAGAATACGTTGTGTCATACTTGAATTTCTAATTAAAAAAAAAAAAAGGCTAGATTGAGCACGTTGATTTGAAATTTTGAGTATTGTCTACAAGCCTTTTAAAATTAATTTTGAAAACTCTGTCGAAGAGTTTTTCTATTTCTAAACATGTCATTTCTTGCCAAGGGTAGGAAACAGGATTTAATAGAAATAGCCGTAGAATTAGGCGGGGAAATGCCGCTGACTAGTAAGGTCCCAGAAATTAAAAAGATAATTACTGAAAGTCAGTTTTACCACGAGGAAGAAGTTAGTTAAATTTATTCTAAACCGAATAATTGCTGAACGCCTAGCTCGAGAACAACGCCTGGCGCAAGCAGCGAGAGAAGAACGCCTAGCTCAAGAAGCGAGAGAATTGGAAATAAAGCTGCTTGAATTGAAAATCAAGTAATACGAGCTAAAGAATCAACAGCGAATATAGTAGAATCAAGTGTGATAAGGTCGCATAAAGGAAGAAGAAACTGAAGATTAATATGGATAAGGATGTCTCGAGAGCATAAGATGAATATTATTATTATTTAACTTCCGAATACGTTTTCAATAGTTGTTAAGTTAAATTATTGTTTTAAAAAATAATATTAGAATGTTGGCATTGTTTCAAACGCAGGCTCAAGAGCCACGCGTAAAATGTAGCGATATTTGAATTTTTTTGAAAGAAAAGGAAGATATAGGTTTTTCTCTTTTTGATTGTATGTAGCCTTTTATTTTGGGCGTTCAATAAAATTTTCATGCGGTGTTCCATCATTAGAGTTTTCATTGGAGTTCAACACCACATCGTTGAAGCATTAACACCACACCACAGCAGTAAATATTAAAATTGGTGGCAGCATTTAGGGATTGTTCCTGAGAGTAAATTTAGGAACGGACTTTTTCGCCTGTGAACTTGAGTTAACATTGTGCGTTGATTTCCGTGCGTCTCGTTGTGTGAGTGTTCCGGATCGTCAAATGGATGTTCCAGAAAAGGCAGTATTGTAAAGGACTTTATGTGAGTAGTCAAGACTTTCTTCTCTGCACAAGAACGATCTAATTTTGGGTGCAAGAACAGTTCGCGTGAAGCCTTTTCTGAAAGCGACAGTGTGTCAGAAGGGAACGCCGGAGGAAGCGTTATTTAGTGCCGCAAAATAATGAAATTTCCCGGAAGAGTTGGAGTATCCAATTTGGAGTTAGAGTTCCCGGAAGAGTTGGAGTGCTGGGAAAGTCATCGAAGGCGGCTTCAATTTGGTTTTTGTGATTTTGGAGAAGTCATGCCAGTTATTCGAGACTAGGTTTATTTTGGATATAGTTCTGTTTTTGGAGATCAAAAGTTTTCTGGTGGTTATTGAAAATTAAGCTTGTTGTTACTGTTGCTAACTGAAATTTAATTGCTTGTTCTATTGTTTTAATAACTGTTCAAATTGTATGAAGTATTTATTGTAACGGTATACTTTAGAAAAATTTAGTTTTTAAATCAGTCCAGAGTTAGAGCACAATATTTATATAGCTGATATAGAGCAGGAAAAGGTTGCCTCTTAATTAGCATTTTTGATATATGTTTTGTATGTAGGTATAGGTATTATAATTTAGTGTTGTAAGGCAAATAGTGTTCAGAACTGTTAGGGTATTATTCAGTTTGGAGAAATAGACCTGTTGTTTTTGTGTTATTGTATTTTGGGGTAGGTTAGTTTTCTTTAATTTTCCATAATGGGTGAGTTTATGAGGAAATTTACTAAAGCTCTGCTATTGGAGTTAGCGGAGGAGTTTGAAACAAATGTGTCTCAGGCAAATAGAGTAAGAGAAATTAGGCAGGCTATTCTAAATGCCGAGGACTTTGAAGAAGAAGCGGCGAAAGAATACGCGGCAAAAATTTGGGCTGCGGTTGAGCAGAAAAAGCAGAAGAAATAGCCGAACAAGAGAGAGCAGAACGGGAAGGTGAACAACAAAGAGCAGAGCGGGAACGGGAGCGAGTTTTTGAATTGGAAAAGTTAAAACTGATGAATGTGGTTGTTTAATAAGGTGTTACCTAAGTGTTACCAATAGCCTAGCTTCCACGGTTTCGACAGTTGAACAATCTAGAGAAAAAAAGGTTAATTTGAAAGATCTAGTACCGCATTTTAAACCAAGTAATATAGATATTTCATTATTCTTTATGCTATTTGAGAAACAAGCTCAAAAAGAGAACGTTAAGGAGATCAATTGGGTCTCGCAATTAATTCCTTTATTACCTCACGATGTAGCCCAGTTAATAGTGAAAGAACCAGCGGATAAAGGGGATAATTATCAGAACGTTAAGAAATTACTCATGCATAGATTCAAGCTTAGTTCTTGGGCACTAAAAACAAAATTTGAAGAACATTCTAGAAAAAACGGAATGTTATGGGTAGATTTAGTGTATGAATTGAGAGTGTATTTAGAGCAGCGTTTCCCAACCTTTTTTGGCCAAGGCACACTTGTCGCGGGGAAAAAAATCACGAGGCACACCACCATTAGAAAATGTTAAAAAATTAACTCTGTGCCTATATTGACTATAATAAAGTAATTCTCTTGAATAGGAATCAAATAAGCACAAAGAAAGTATTTTAAATTACTTTATTATGAAATATTAAGTAAACAGAATAGTGAAAAATTATAAAATACTTTCAGTGCGAAACCTGGGCCTGTTTGGCTGAACACAAAGCTGATATTCTGGCTGGAATCGAAGAAAGACACACACGTAGCTCTTCGTCAACAGTTCTCAGTCTCTCTCTGTATTTGGTTTTCATAGCAATCATGCTTGAAAAGCTAATCTCACACAGATATGTAGTGGAAAAAGGGAGCAATGTCAAAATAGCTTTGTTTGCCAGAAGGGGGAACTCCTTGGCAGTATCCAACCAAAAACTGTCCAAAGGTAGATCAGCAAATCTTAGCTTGCAACCACGATTTTGTCTCAGTTCAATTAGTTCCTCCTGCTCCTGTAAAGTCATTTCCTTTCCAACAACTGATGCTGAGCTATAAGGGTCCCTAACCCAGTCAAGGCATTCAGTGGAGACTGAAGAGAAATAAAATGACAACTTCTCCTCAAGAGTTTTTAAATGCTTAACTATTATCTCACACACAGTGCAGCAGTGTGAACACCTTGCCATTGCATGGTGAGTGTGAACATTTCAAGATTGCCACTTTCCACGTGTTGATGCCAGAGTTGCACCTTTGGACGGAATCCATTTATTTTATCTGTACTTGTAAGCAGGTTTTCATTTCGGCCTTGCATTCGGGTGTTCAATTCATTCAGATGATGAAATATATCTGCCAGGTATGCCAGCCTTGCACACCACTCATCACTTGCAAGCTGCTTTGCGTAATCTGACCCCTCATTTGTCAGAAACACTTTAAGTTCCTCCCGAAGCTCATACACACGAACCAAGACCTTGCCACGGGACAACCACCGAACCTCCGTATGAAACAGCAAGGTTTTATGCTTTGCTCCCATCTCCTCACACAAAGCTGCAAATATGCGACTTTTCATGGGTCGTGACTTTGCAATGTTTACCATACGCACAACATCATCCAACACATGAACTAAGGCTGATGGTAAAGTCTTGGCTACGAGGGCCTCGTGGTGTAAAAAACAATGCGTAATAATAACATCTGGATTTCTCTCCTTCACTCTGCTTACAAAGCCTTTGGTGCGCCCGACCATGGCTGCAGCTCCATCGGTGCAGACACTTGTGCAGTTTTCCCACTTAAGTCCTCCTTGTTCAAGGTATTCTGATGTGACCCGAAAAATTTCTTCTCCTGTTGTTTTTTCTGGCAATACCTTGCAAAAAAAGAAGTTTTCTCTAATTGCATCACCATCAACAAAACGCACATTAGCTAAGAGTTGAGCATATCCACTGATATCAGTAGACTCGTCAAGTTGCAATGCAAATTTCTCACTGATACGGATCTTTTCCAAAACCACACTTTCGATGTCTGCAGACATGTCATTAATACGTCTGGAAATTGTGTTGTTTGAGAGAGGGACTTTGGCTATTTCCTTTTCTGCTTCAGGTCCGAGCATCTCCTCTACAATAGCTTTGCAGGCAGGAAGTATTAATGTCTCTGCCACAGTGTGCGACTTTTTTGTCTTGGCTATAAGTTCAGCAACTTGATAGCTAGCTTTAAGAGCTCTTTCATTTACCTTTGTTGTTTTTTTTCTCATAAAAGTTTGCCTGTTTTCTCCATGTTGTCACGCAGGCGAACAAAATAGTCCACATTCTTGTTTTGAAGCAAAGGGTGTTTCGTTTGGAGATGGCGTTTTTAAGTTTTGCTTGGGACCATAGCACTGTTAGCTAGCTTTTCACCACACACCACGCACAGTGGAGTTTGGTTTGTGTTCATCTCCAGTGAAGTAAATTAAATCCAACTGAAATATAGCTTTCGCTATATTGCCTTGCGCCAGATAATTTAACCATCTTTGCTTTCTTTTGACCCCCACTCATACTCGGGCTCTCATCTGGCTCCAGATTTTGTTCAGAGTCCAGTTCTTCCTTTTCAAAAACTTCTCCATCACTGCAATATCAGTGTCTCTCTCCTCACAGCAGCCGTTGTCTCTCTGACACTGTGTGAGGCGTCTGCCTGCGTCTCATGGGGGTGGGGACACGGCGGACACTTGTCAAAGATTGGCAGGGGAGGAGGGAGGAGTTATAGCACTGCACAGCGCCGTGACCACCTATGACACTGGCGGGGGGAGTGACGGGAGGAGTTATAGAGGGCGAACAGCACCGTGACACCCAGACCCGGCGGCACACCACGGTGCTTCAGACGGCACACTGGTGTGCCGCGGAACAGCGGTTGGGAACCGCTGATTTAGAGAATTTGTTGGATTCAGTGGAAGTTCAAGATTTTGAAAGTCTTAAAGAACTTATGCTCACCGAGCGAAATCAAGCTGCGAGTCCCTCTAGAAATAAGAGAGCACTACTTAGACAATTGAGAAGAATTTAAAATAGCTCCTATTTTAGCAGAGAAATGCGACAGGTATGAGTCTTTGCGAAGAGATACGAGGAAGTTAGAACAGAGAGCGGAGTTAAATAAACCCTTTGAGAAAGATAGAGAGCGGCATGTAAATTCCGATGGTAGTTATAATCAGAAAAGTAGTGGTCATCAAAGAATTAAATCAGTGGAGCATAAAAAAGTGGTGGCTTCTAAAAAAATTAAAAAAAGCAAGTTTTCAATGAAGCAGGTTTCGAGAAACAGCGGAAAATAAAGTGGTACCAATGTGGAAAGGACGGACATATCCGATCTAACTGTCCATCGCTGGAAAAGAATAAGGCTAATCTGGTGAATAATCTTAGTCACGCCGATAATTTCTACAAAAATAAGAGCAAGGAGAAAAAATGCTCTTGTTTTAATTTATTTGGTCACGTAGCCGCAGAATGTATAAAAAATAAGACAAATATAAAAGACCTTGCCAGAGTGAATCATATATTTGTAAAGAAACAGTTGAATGATATGCATAAAACTGTATCGATAGATAATGTAGAAGTAAAAGCTCTGATTGATACAGGAAGTGATATAAATATAGTATCGGAAAATATTTATAAAGTAATTGGTTCACCTAGTATTAATTCTTCCGATTTGATTCTAGTAGGCTTTGTTAGTAATAAAATAAAGCCTATTGGTTATTTTAAAGGTTTTATACGAATTGACGATTGTGAAATTAAACCAAATATTTATGTTGTGCCTCAAGGAACAATGAAAAAAAATGCTGTTATTGGAAATAAATTGCTTTCACAAATGGAAATTATTATAAACAAGAACGGCATATCTATGAAAGTAAAAGAAGATAAACATCGAATTTTAATGTATATAAGTGTAGATCAAGAAAATGAGTTAGCTAATTATTTGGATATTAATAAAGTGCGTAGGTCTGAATTGAAAGTTATATTCGCAATAAAACTGATAACCCTATAGAAGAAACAGATGTTGTTGAAGATGAATTAAAGGAAGAGGAGTCTCAGGAAGAAAAATGTAATGTTAAACGTAGAAAAGGAAAACTGCAAAACGTAGAGGAAGGGAAGAATTCCATTCCTAAAGGAAGAAGAAAAAATCCACCTAAGAAAGTTCAGGAAATCAAAGAAAGTAATGAAAAAATTCATGATTCCAAAATACCCACTTCAGGGCCAAAGAGTTCTAGGAAAAGAAAGAATTCAGAATTTGAGAAACTAGTTGAAGATAATTTTGGTGAAACAGGAATATCAACAGTAAGAAAGATTAAACAGCAAGTGAAATTTCTAGCTAAACTGGATCCTGGTATGTCTGAAAAACTTAAAGGAACACAAGCCAAAAGAAAATCTACTAATACCGAAATGCATGTCATTTTAAAAGATGACCAACATATTTCTTTGAGACCCAGACGTTTACCAATTATAGGTAAAGAACAACTAAAGCAGGAAAAAACTATTTTACAAATGGATTTGGATGTTCCTGAACAACAAGTTAGATCTTTGGAAAGAAAAGTTTCCGTATCAGAATAGACTGTAGAAATGTTACAGAAACAACTATCAGAAGCAAAGAATGAAGTAAAAGCTGCAAAATTTCAGATGAGAACCGAAGATAAAATCCCGTCTGAAAAAGAAAAAGTGATTTGGACAAAAGAGTGCGACAAGGCTTGCAATAAACTGAAGACCAAACTAGTAAAACGTCCGGTTTTATTTGCACCAGATTATTCTAAAGAATTTATTGTGCAGACAGATGCCAGCTTGTACAAGTATTGTATTGTCTCAGATTCAGGATGAGGAGGAAGACCCTATACTTTATCTTAGCAAAAGGTTTACTAAAGCGGAGCGAAATTATAGTACCATTGAAAGAGAACTAGCGGCCATTATTTATGGACTGAAGAAACTAAATCATTACTTAGACGGACAAAAATTCAAGATTTAGAAGGATTTCGGATTAGATCCGTTGACTTTTTTAAACAAAATGATGGGAACAAATTCTCGTTTGACTCGCTGGGCATTGTGTCTCCAGCAGTACAACTTTGAAATTGTTCGTAGGCCAGGCAAATTACACGGTAATGCAGATGGCTTGAGTCGTGCCCTAGTCTAGTGACTGAATATCACTAGTGGATACAATGTAAGGGAAAATTGGTGAAAATGATTTTGGTAGCGTTTTGGAATTATACTTGTGTAAATTCAAAATTGTTTGAATTGTGTGTTTCATTTTCAAAAAATTGTTAGAATTAATTTTTTTATCTGAAGTATTAGCATTTTGTAAAATTTGAGGAATGTACTTTGTATGAGGCAGACATTAGGAATAGTTTAAATCTTTTTGTATTTTTTGCTTTTATGTTATCTAGAATTAAGTGCAGGGTAATGTAACTGGCTTCTCTATTATCACTTAAATGATTACCACTTGTGTTTTGAAAGCAGTGAAAAGTATTTAGAATTTTTCCTTTCATAGTCTAGGAAAATGCTGTTATGAGGAGAGGAGTTGTGATGAGGTCGCATAAAGGAAGAAGAAACTGAAGATTAATATGGACAAAAGGATGTCTCGAGAGCATAAGATGAATATTATTATTATTTAACTTCCGAATACGTTTTCAATAGTTGTTAAGTTAAATTAATTGTTTTAAAAAATAATATTAAAATGTTGGCATTGTTTCAAACGCAGGCTCGAGAGCCACACGTAAAATGTAGAGATATTTAATTTTTTTGAAAGGAAAGGAAGATATACGTTTTTCTCTTGTTGATTCTATGTAGCCTTTTATTTTGGGCGTTCAATAAAATTTTCATGCGGTGTTCCATCATTAGAGTTTTCATTGGAGTTCAACACCACACCACATAAGCAACAAAATCCAGTTGTCACAAATTACTCCAAAGTTCAACGAAAAAGGGATGAAATGGGACTATATTTGATAAATTTTGAGAGAAAAGCTGAAATATCTCTTTTGGGTATTTTACCCACCGAAATCTCCAATATGTTAGCCAGAGAACCATCTGAAGATGCGACTAAGTACGAATATGTGAAAATCTAGTCTTCAGAAGATATAAACTTAACTGTGAAAAGCTGAAATAATGTTTTTATCGACATCAAAAAACTCCTGAAAAATCTTGGAGAAATTATGCTCATGAACTTTATAGTTATTTTCTAGAGTGGATTGCGGATTTAGAAATTAAGACATTTGAAAATCTGAAAGATTTAATAGTTACCGAGCAAATTAAATATAGGGTTTCCATGAAAGTAAAGGATCATTTTCTCGACCAATGGATGAAATTAAAAACTCCATATGAGCTAGCAGAAAAATTATACTAGTATGAGAGTATTAAAGAGAGCTTTAAGAGGGAAAATCCTAGAAAACAAGGTTTGAAACTTCAAAAAAAGTCATCAAAACGTGAACAAAATTTAAAGTGGTTATCATAATAGACATAATTCTAAAGATATCTCGAAAGATTTTAATCCTAAACCTATAATTAGGACAGAATATACTAATAAAATTCATGGAAAGGAATTTGAGAAACGGAGACAACCTCGTTGTTATGAATGCGGATCCTACTCACATCTTCGACCTCAATGTGATAAACTCAAGAAAAATTTAGAAACTGTAGCATCCAATGAAACTGTACCCTCAAATGAATTTTCCAAAAATAGTTTTAAGGATATTATGGCTCCATAGGATATACCAGCCTAGGTAAATTAAATGGCTATAAAATGCCCATAACTTACAGATACCGGTGCAAGTTTGGATTTAATTTGCTAAAAGTATGTACAAACTTTCATGTATATGGGTGAGACCGTGTGGATACGAACACCTCTGGAAGAACATCCAGTATGCTTACCTTTGGCTGAGGTAGAGCTTAAATGTGATCTTGGTCATATAATAACAAAGGCTGCAGTCTTAAGAGATTCATTAAATCAAGGAAGGTACCTTCTAGGTAACAAAACCGCTGCATTATTTGAAGAAGCAAAACTAGATGAAAAAGTTCAAATTCATATGATAAACGCCATAAAAATTCGTGCTCAACAGCGACGACTAAAAGAAACGGAAAATCTGGTCACAACAAATGAGTTAAATTCTGAAACTGAACTTAACGACAAAGACACATTGACTGAAAATGAAAGTTTGCCTCCTGTGAAATATGAACGTTCAGAATTAGATCTGATAAATACCTCTCCAGAAATATTTATACAAGAACAGAAGGAGAGCGTCGAATTGAAGCCGAT